AAAAAAAAAAAAAAAAAGAATGTGATTCCTTAGTGGCTTCTAAGGCTTTGAGGATAAAGGCCCCAAATTCTGCTGGTGACTTTCAAGACTAGGAAAACTTGGCCTCTCCCACCTTTCAAAGCTGTTTTGCCTTTCTTCCCTCCCTCCACATTGAGCTTTCTCACTGTTCTACCTCTTTCTGTTCCTTGAATATGCCATGTTACTGTGCTGAGCATCACACATTCCTGCCCCTGGCCCCCTGAATGTCTCTTACTAATCCTTCAGGATTCAACTCTGATGTCCCTTCCTCTATGAAGCCCTCCCTGGCTCCTCCAGGATGTTCTGTCATCCCACAGCTTTTTGTTTCCGCTCAAGCTGTGCTATAACTACGCTGTGGTTGCCCCTTGAGTTGGGTCCTTTGCTCTTACGTCCTCCCTCTCTATTGCAGCCTGTTTCCTCTGGTACCAAGAAAATGGAAGCAGATGTGAGGGACTGTTCTTTCCAAGGCCTCAAACCTGCCCACGTCTTCTGCGTCATGCCGTCCTTCCACTTGTTAGGATCGAGGCGGTCCCACCTGCTGTGCAGGAGCCCATGTTTCTCCCCGCTGTCGGTATCTCTCTTGTAATCACAGCTGTCTCCGGGATCTTTCTCATCGCTCACTTATTTCCATCCTAAACATTCCTCAACCACAGCAGCCCTGGACCACCACATACCCCACCTAGGTAGTATCTAATCTCTGTTCCCTTCCTTGTTTTTTGAAAAAAGATTTATTTATGCACACAAGAACTGGGGTACAGAACAGAGGTGCAGGAGGGGGGCTGCAGTAGCTGCGGATAGCTTCATAGGGCTGCGCTTTAACCCCTTGCGCCACCAGGGAGGGCCCTCCGTCCTCTTCCTAAGCAGCTTCACAACTGCTCTCAGCTTACCAGTTTTACTGGCTCTAATTTGGCTGCTGCTCCTGCCCACACCCAGGTCTCCATGGCTGCCCAAACAATGCTTTCTGGGGTCGCAGATGACTTGCCATTGCTAAGTGTAATGCAGACTTTTCGGGCACATTTCCTGCTGGCCTTCTCAGTGGCTCACTGGTGTCCACTCTCTACTCCTGGGTTTGGAGACTGTCCCCTCTTCTTCCTGCCTCATCAGCTGCACCTCGGCTCTGCCAGCTCCTCTCCTTCCGCCTGACTTGTTCTTTTTCATTTTTTCATAAAAAGTACTACATTTTTTTTGTGATCCCTAATGTAAAAAGATGTGCTGAATTTGAGCAACTCGAAGATGGACATGTTGATAGTTCTGAAAACATTTTGTCTTCTGTGCCTGAAACATTTTTGGTGTCTTATGATTACAAATTGGCAGTTTTGTTTCTTTCGGTAAATAAAATAATGATCTATCTTGAAATTGGTGGTGAATGGGTTTAGCAATATAAAGATTGTAAAAATTCTCCCTCCCACCTGCTCCATATCTACACATATATATATTTCCCCCACAACTTACTTCCATAGTTTTCAAAGCCACAGAATAGGTTATAAAACTGTTCAATGAATACCTGCAGGATCTATCACCTCAACTCACCATTTGTTAATATTTTGCAGTATTTGTCTTACCTATTTTTTTTTTTGCAGAACCATTTGAAAGTAAGTTGCAGACAGTTGCCTCCACATGTATCTTCCCAGAACAAAGATGTTTGCCTACCCTATATAACCACAGCACCTAAGAAATTTAACTTTGAGCCTTGGTATATACTATGAAGTTGGCATTCAAACTTTTATACTTGTCTTAACAATTTTCTTTACCACTGTGATTTGAAAATCCAGGATCCTCTCAAGGATCATTGCATGTCTCTAGTCCTTTTTCTTTAGATGAGTTCCCTCCACCAATTTTGTCTTTTATGACATTAATATTTGTCCTGGAGTATTTTCCACAATCTGGATTTGACTAGTTATTTTTTCATAATTTTGTGCACATTAATGCTTGAGTCACAATGCTACACAGATGATGGTGTCCCAGTACGAGTGTCACACCAGGGGCATGATGTCCTTTCATCCCATTATCAAGAATGCTAGTTTTGGGGTCCTCTCAGGTGGCGCAGCAGGTTTAAGTGCAGCACTGCAAGCTGGCTGAGGCCACTTCAGTTTGATCCCCTGCCCTGGAGGTGATCCACAAGGCGCAGCAGAGATCTCCTGTCTTGCCTGCTGCTCCCCTCAGGAGTGTACTTTGTTGATCTGCTGACTTTGTTCCCCATTCTCTCTGGTGAATCCTCTTACTGCCCCTGCACTTCTGGCCTGTACCCCCGTTCTGTATGCATAAATAAATCTTAAAAAAAATGCTAGGTTTGGTTACTGAGCATTATGGATTGGATTCTCTTCATTATAGGAGGCTATTTCTTTGTTGTGACTATAAGTAATCCAGGCTCTCAAACTGCACCAGTTCTTTAACATTTTTATTTATTTTTGTATAGAAGAACTGGAGTGTAGGCCAGAGGTACAGGGCGTGTGTGTGAGAGAGGATTCACCAGAGACAGAGTGGGGAGTGGAACAGGTGGGTCTTTTGAAATACACTGCTGAGGGGAGCAGCAGATGAGACAGGAGAGGTCTGCTGTGCCCATGTGGGTCAGCTCCCTGGCTGGGGATCCAACTCCAGCAGTCACAGTGATAGCCTGAGACCTAACCCCCAGGCTGCCATTCCTTCTGTCTTTGTCAGATCTTTCCTGCCTTTTGTGTGTCCGTGTGGATTTGTGCCTTCCTTTCACTCAGGGTCTTATGACCCATTCCTAATATTATTCAGGTTTTTCTCAGCTTTTTATTTTGAAAACCTACTCTACACTAAAATGGAAAGATTTGTCCATGGGACACTTCATCGACTCATTGATTGTTAATTATCTGCCACATTTGCTTTGATTTCTTGTCTAGTCAGCCACTATTTTTTATTTTTTTAACGATTTATTTATTCATTCATACAGAACTGGGGTACAGGCCAGAGGTGCAGGGTGGTGAGAGGATTCACCAGAGACAGAGCGGGAAGCAGAACAGGCAGATCGGCGAAGTACACTGCTGAGGGGAGCAGCGGGCGGGTCAGGAGAGGTCTGCCGCGCCATGTGGTCACCTCCGGGGCAGGCGGGAATCGAACTCATGAGGAAGCGGCTTTAGATTCTCAGTGCTGTGCTTTAACCCGCTGCGCCACCAGGGAGGGCCTATTTTTTATTTTTTTAACGATTTATTTATTCATTCATACAGAACTGGGGTACAGGCCAGAGGTGCAGGGTGGTGAGAGGATTCACCAGAGACAGAGTGGGAAGCAGAACAGGCAGATCGGCGAAGTACACTGCTGAGGGGAGCAGCAGGCAGGCCAGGAGAGGTCTGCCACGCCATGTGGTCACCTCTGGGGCAAGCAGATCGAACTCATGGGGAAATGGCTTTAGCCTCTTAGTGGTGTGCTTTAACCCACTGCGCCACCAGGGAGGGCCCTATTTTTTATTTTTTGTCTGAAGGAAGTTTCAGCTCTCACGATACTTTACCCCTAAGTAAAGCACATATTTCCTAAAAATAAAAATATTTTTCTCATAAGCCCAGTCTAAGCACTACATCCAAAGGAGTATGGCATTGGCACAATGCTGTTTTCCAGTTTCTAGTCTTTGTTCACTTTTCTGTTCTCCTGGATGGCTCTGCATTTCCCCTGAGTTGGGATCAGTCAGAGTTTACACACTGCTTACTATCTGTTGCCACAGAGCTGTGTTTCATGCATCTAATCCCTTGCTGTCTTATTTTGTTTCATGTGTTATCTTTTAGGATTTCACATTTCTTAACAGTCCAGGCTGGTGCAGAAATGAGAATGCTGCACCACTGGCATTGGTCTGATTATCAGGGTTAGATTCGGGTGATACACTTTGCCTCCGGTGCTGCATGGGGATTTCTGCCTCCCTCTACATGAGTCACCTGCGGAGGCCGTAATGTCTGCTCACGCCTTGGTGAGGTTAAGTTACGTCTGGCCCAAGGTGGCATCTGCCAGCTTTCTCCACAGGAAGAGTTCCCGTTCCCCTTGTAGTTAGAAAGCCAACTTTGGGCTGTTGCTTTGAGGAACCGCCCGCCTCCCTCCCTGTCACTCGGGGTTTTAGCAGCTGTTGACCATCCTTGCCTGAGGCAACAGAACAGAGTTTTCATAATTTTGTCATTTCTGCTTTTATTGCTAGCATTCTCTCTTTCTCTCTCTTTTTAATTTGACTTGTGTTTTTATTTATTTATTTATGTATGTATGTATACAGAACTGGGGTACAGGCCAGATGTGTGTGGGGTGAGAGGATTCACCAAAGACAGAGCAGGGAGCAGAATGGGCAGACTTACTAAAATACATTGCTGTGGGGAGCAGTGGGTAGGTCAGGAGAGGTCTGCTGGGCCGTATGAGTCACCTCCCTGGCTGGGGATCAGACTTGTGCTGCAGTGGCTGTGATAGCGTCATAGTGCTGTGCTTTAACCCATTGCACCACCAGGAAGAGCCCTGCAGCTAGCATTCTCTAAAGAAGACCTTCCTCTCTTTCTAAGGACAAAGGTCACCTTGGACTCATGATTAAACATTTAGTATGTTATATATGTTTTCTTTCATTACTCATATTGATCATTGTTATTTTTTGATGCTCTTAATTATCCCATTTAGTTGGGATTAAACTTCTGTCCTGTCAACATGTCCCACTAATTGAATTAGCTGTTTCTGGCACAAGATAGTCTGGCCTGACCCGCCAGCTTGTGACCAGCCATATGTGTGTATTTCAAGTCATGAGCTCATACTGGTACTGACACCTGCAATTCAAATCCAGCATCACAGGGCTCTTTCTTTCCTTCCCACACTCCATAGTCTGTCTCCTACTCTGAAAGGAAGAACCGGGTTCCTAACATTAGGGCATCTGCTCTCACGCTTTCTCCGATAGCCTCCATAGGACAGAGGCTTGGAATCGCCACATTCGTGGGACAGACACAGCCGTGTGAACACGTACAATTTCTTTCCAGTTGTTTAGTCCTTGAGATAGAGCCTTCCACAAGAGCAAGCCATGCTGTGATCAAATTACTTGACCAGTTCTTTTTTCTGTGTGGCTGTGTTACCATTTCTGTACAGTCGGCTTTGTTCTTTATTTTATCTTCAGCATTCCCAGTATATTTGGGGTGCTCCTCACACTTGCCTTGCTTGTAAGGCAGCTCTTGTCTTGCCTCGGAGCTGCACCTCTTCCCCCAGGTGCTTCCTGGGATGGACAGCTCTGCTGTCTACTTCAGAGCTCACATTGGCAAGCGGTCTTCCCGACTCCCCAAATCCACCTCAGGGTCTCCAACGGCCTCAATAATGAGCCCTGACTTCTCCCCACCTCCCACTGCACCTTGCCAGCAACATTCTTGCTGCTTCCCTGTTTGCTTTCTTTGCTTTGGTCACATCGGTTTTCTTTCCTTTACCTAAAGCACGAGACTCCTTCATGTATGAGCAACTGTCTGCTTCCCCTTTGCCCAGAAGGCTCTCCTGGATACCTCCTCTGTGTATAAGTTCCCTGGTTCCCCAGACCAGACCAGATTCCCTTGACATGTGCTGGGTGTGTCATAGCAGCCATGCTTCTCCAGTGTTATTGACTGCACTGGTTATTGACAGTTTTTTTTTTTTTAAAGATTTTATTTATTTATTCATATAGAACTGGGGTATAGGCCAGAGATGCAGAGGGTGAGAGGATTCACCAGAGACAGAGTGGGGAGCAGAACAGGCAGATTGATGAAGTACGCTGCTGAGGGGAGCAGCGAGCGGGTCAGGAGAGGTCTGCTGTGCCATATGGTCACTTCCGGGGCAGGTGGGGATCGAACTCATGCGGAAGTGGCTTAAGTTTCTTAGTGCTGCGCTTTAACCCGCTGCGCCACCAGGGAAGGCCTATTGACAGTTTTTTTGCCTAGTGCAGGGTCCACCTCTGTCCTCTTGTTGCTGCCTCCAACAAATGAACCAGTGGTCAGAGGCAGACACAGGAGGAAGGTGGCCCAGCCAGGGCTCTGCCTATGTTCGGGGGTCAAGGAATAGAATATCCTTTTTCAGAGGTCGCTGGTTCCCTTTCCTTCCCAGCTTCCTCTCCCATCCTTGGATGGGTTTTTCTGAGAATGGTCTTTGCACCTCGAGGCACAGGGTGGGATGGCCCTATTGGAGGCAGTTGTTGGGGTTTTGCAAGTCGGGGTTCTCTCCGCTGAGCTCATTCTACTATGGCTGGGGGAGTTGGGTCTTGCTCCAGGGAGTTTCCAGCAGGTTGGGGCTGAGAGAGAGACTGGGTTGGTCCAATCATGATCCTCATCTTTTTTATCTTTTTCTTTTAGCTCCTACCTTTTTTTTTTTTTCCTTTTCAGTTCAGGACGAAGAGACGTGGCAGGCCGCTGGGCATTCTGGTGCCAACATGGCAGGTAAGGAGGAGGCAGGTCACATGGGTAGGACATGAAAGTGAGCATAAGGTGGGTGGCCTTTTTCCTAATTCCCATTACCCACCCCCACCCCCAATTTTGGGGAGGTCAGTTTTTATCCTCAGTCCCCCCTGAGGCCTGTCTGAGGCCCTCAGGATGGCACTGGTGAGCCCTCTGTAAGACTCCTGCCCTTGGAACGACGGAAAGCCCAAACATCCCGATGTCCTGGTCCCCTTGGCCACCCTTTCCCCTGTCACCATTGTTGCTTATTTGCTAAGACCTTATCCTTCTGACTTCCAGAGGCTCAGGCCTAGAATGCCAGAGCTGGAGGGACCTTTGGGGATGATCTCACCCAGCCTCTGCTCCTTACATAAACTGAAGACCAGAGAGGGCTGGTGACTTGCCCCAAAGTGTGAATGTTGGAGTGGTGGCTAGAACCCAGGTCTGCAGACTCACCCTTCCTGCTTCCCCTGTGTGGAAGGGCTCCCCTCAGAGAATGCTACTGCTCTCTGAGGGAAACATTTATTGTTTTTATTCTTCTGAGAGAGTACTCTGCCTCAGGGGTGATTTGGGGACCTCATCCAGGAAGCTGGCATGGATGGGTGGGGATAGCAAAGTGGCCTGTGGCTGAGGGCCCAGGGAACAGCCCAGACCAGGGGAAGAATGTATACAGCGGTCTTCAGGGAGGGGAGATGTTCAAGGTGACGCCACACGATGTGCCTCATCCACAGAGAAGGTGAACAACTTCCCGCCGTTGCCCAAGTTCATCCCTTTGAAGCCATGTTTCTACCAAGACTTCGAAGCAGACATCCCTCCCCAGCATCTCAGCATGACTAAGCGCCTCTACTACCTCTGGATGTGTGAGTGCCGTGGGCTGGGCATGGGCTGGGGGTGCACGGGGGGGTTGGGGTGAGGTTGTCCACAGGCCTGCTGTGCTTCACCCCACTTGCAGCATCTGCATGGCCAGGTAAGCTTTCCCCTGCCTGGCTCCCCACAGGCTCCTCTCATGGCTAACTCCCCAGACACCCCCTCCCCCTCCCACACACCCCAGGCCTCTGTTCCCTTCTTCCCTCCATCTCCCACCCACAGAGCATCTGGCTAAGGGTGATTCCTCCACAGGAATAGTTTTCTAAGGAACCTCTGGTGACTGCCTCAGGATTCTGAATTTGGAAAAGAATCTTTCACTCTAAAGTCACACTTTTCTTGCTTTCTCTGGGAAACTGCTCAAGAAAAGAGCATTTAACCTGGAGTTGGGAGCTGAGGGGCCCAGCGGGGCTGGTTGCTCTCCTTCCCTTGCGGTGGGCTCCTCACTTGCAGGAGGTTGCAGGCTCATTGGTCACGTGCTGCTCTGTGTTATATGTTCTGTACACTTTAGAGTCTAGGTCTTGATATTTGAGATTCTGTGGTGCAGTGTTTAAAGGCCCAGGTTTCTAATGGTCTGGGGCAGATTGATAGGGAGAGTGTCACCTTGGGGGCATGGGACTTAACAGTGGCCATTCTGGCTGGTCCAGGGTCCCTCTTAGGCATGTGCAAGGCAGGCAGGCCAGCTGCCCTGTGCTAAGTCCTGGTCCAGGGTCCCTCTTAGGCATGTGCAAGGCAGGCAGGCCAGCTGCCCTGTGCTAAGTCCTGGCCTCAGGGAGCCCCAGCCACCTGCAAGGTGACCACAGCCAGCTGAGCTCACATGACGTTGCCCGGACTGCTCCCCTGGCCACTCAGTGACTGTACCAGGACAGTGGTAAAGAACGCGGTCTTTGCAGCAGCTCCTTCCCGGATGGCAGGAATAGTATGGGAACAGATAGATGATTGTCAAGTCCTGGCCAACCTTTGGTTGGAGAAGGGCCCTCTCCATGGTACACGAGAGGAGGAAGGGTCAGGCAGGTATGGGAGATCTGTAGCTGAGCAGGGAATGAGGAGGTTGGCTCTGATGCTTCCATCTTTTTCATCACATGTGGTATAGCAGTGGGATTAGAATGTTTGTAGACAGAAGGTGAGGACGCAATCCAGGGAAACCTGACAGCTAAGCCTTCTGGGCCAGGCACAGGGTCCAGTTGAGCTTGACCGCTGTGGACAGAGAGTGCTGCCAGGCTTCCCTTGTGGTGCTGCTTCCTAGTAACGTTCAGCTTGGGTTCGGACGGCAGTTGCGTCCACCCAGGCTGAGTGTGCCTGGGAGGCAACAGCAAAGGGGTAAGCAGAGAGGTCTGATGCATCACAGGCTCTGAGCTGCATGGCGGGGAGATAAATGAAAGCGGATAGCTAGAGGGAAGTGCCAAGTCCAGAGAAGTCCATTCCAAGAAGGTGGCAGACAGTTGAAGCAGGAACACTAGCTCAGCCACGCTGGGGTTGGGGGCCTGGGAAGCAAGAGGTACACCGGCGTGGAAGACAGATACAGCTGGTCTCATGGAGTTACGCGGCCTTGCACCTGGGAGACAGGCAGGTTTGGTGCCATGTAGACCATCTCCATGTGCCAGTGAAACCAGCCATCCATGTTACGTCTTTCTTTGTAAAGAGCAAACAAAATCAATGAGAACACCAAGGTTGCAGGCACTGTGAAGAAATGCCTGCACTTGGCATAAGGGGCCCTGAGGTGGGTGTGTTCACAGGGGACAGGGTTGTCAGGCCAGAGTTGGGGAGGAACTTTCCCCAAGAAGATCTCATCTGGGAGCTGGAATTAAGGGCTATAAATATCCTCCTAAGCCCTCACCCTTGAGATGCTTAAGGGTTTCTATTCAGAAACCAAGACCACAGACACCTGGCTGTTTGAAGCCAAGACAGCCTGCTTGCCTTCACTCATCCAGCAGGTCTTCATGGAGCTTTGAAGGAATTCAGCCTGATGCCCCAGGAGGGAGCACACTGATGCCAGAAGAGCAGGGAGTGTCAGTGCCAGCAGCCGATAAGGCGTCTTTGACTCCATGGTGCTGTATCCCAGAGTTCAGCTAGAATGTGAGGGAGCCTTGCATCCACTCTTGTCTGGTTGATGAACTGGGGTGGCCCTTGGAGAATCATGACAGCAGCGCAGCTCTGCAGGAGAGCAGAGGGAGAGGAAATGAAAGGGCCACCAGTGTGGTGGGTGGCTTCGTGGAGGAGGTGCTGTGATAGTGGTCTAGGAGAGATTTGATAATGGCCAGTGTTCCAGCCACTGCCACCTCCCCTTTGAAGTTTAGGGCAGATGGTACAATTACTTGAAGAGACCAGGTCTTTTCCTTCCCCCTTTTTGTGCCCTGCCTTACAAGAGAAGATGGAAGATGGGTTTCCTGCCTTGGCCTTGATGATTGCTGATGGTCTGGGAGGGCCAGGGACTGAGGTCATTCTTACAAGGAGAAGAGCATTACTACTACCTAAGGCTTTGGGGCCCTTCAGAGGATTGCTGGGCTGAGGCTCTGGGTCCCTGCTCTGGAGAGTCTCTGCTCCAGATTGCTCAGACCCCTAGGAGTGGGTGTGGGAGGGATTGGTCTAAGCTCCAGCTTTCTTTCTTACAGTCTGTACTTCCTCTGTATGTGTGTGTCTCGTGTATCTGTGTCCACGGATGTGGGTCACGATATGAATCTGTTGAAATGTGGTTTGCATGTGTTTGCGTGTGTGTATCACTGTGCTTGTTTGTGCTGCTTGCACGTGTCTGTGGGTCTGTGTGGAGTTACGGGTGTTGTGTTTGTGTCTGGGCGCTCATGTGTCTCTGCATGGACCTGCGTCTGTGTCCGTCTGTGTGTGCGTGCATGTGCTCCTGGGTCTGCAGTGAACAGCGTCACGCTGGCCGTGAACCTGGTGGGCTGTCTCGCGTGGCTGATCGGAGGCGGGGGAGCCACCAACTTTGGCCTCGCCTTTCTCTGGCTCATCCTCTTCACACCCTGCTCCTACGTCTGCTGGTTTCGGCCCATTTACAAGGCCTTCAAGTAAGTGGCTGTTACTGACCCCAGCTCCTAGCCCTTCTCCCCTGTCTCTCCTCTACATCTTTTCTCACATGCCCAAACTCACCTTCCCTTGGCCACCTTCATTTTAGACTACCAGGCAGAACTGGGGCTTCCTGGAAACTGCAGGGCCTGGTGAGAGGGCTGGGAGTCAGAGCCTTCCCCTCCTCACACTACTGCTGGGCAGCACAGACTAGGCCTGTTTTCGTTTTGCCTTCCCCAGCCAGCCCCATGTTAACTTTTGCTATGGTGCTGCCTGTCTTGGTGAAACTTGCACAGCCTTGTCCATGCGTGACTCGCTGACGTCGTGCCTGCGAAACCAAGGCGTTCATGTACCTCTGACACTACCTGTATGCTAGTGAGGCCTTCCACTGCTGTGCCAGAGGGTCCACTCATGCATGTCTCAGTGGCGCTAACTGTCTTGGTGCCCACGGTCCACCCACGGGCCTCAAATGTCATTGCCCATCAGACCACCCATCTATGTGCCAATAAGGTGTTCGTTCTAGTGGGACTTTCTACCTTTGAGCTGTGGCACCATCCAGCCATGTGCCAGTGGAGCTGTCCGGCCCCTGGACACTGGGTTGTTTCTGCCACAATGGTCTCATCGACTCCTGTACCGGTGAGGCCACGCAGCCACACTCTGTTGGGTGGGCCGTGCTCCACGAGGGGATCTCTCCCTGTGTAAAGTTGCACACACAGGCCTAACACATGGGAACTTGCAAAGATCTGTGAGCAAAGCCTGCCGTATTTTGGCCTCTCAGTTAAGGCCTTTAAATAACTCTGTCCATCATGCACTCACTCTAACTTGGGCGGGCTCGGGGACCTTGAAGACTGGGGGCTTCCGCCCAGTGACAGGAGCCACCTCCTCTGCTGCAGGACCGACAGTTCCTTCAGTTTCATGGCATTCTTCTTCACCTTCATGGCCCAGATGGTCATCAGCATCATTCAGGCTGTGGGCATCCCAGGCTGGGGCGTCTGGTAAGAGACTGGGCTATCGGGGCTTATTGGGGGGTGGCAGGGCAACATTTTGGGTGTATCGTTTGCTTACTTCTGTGTGCTTAACTTGGGGACACCGTGTATTATTGGAAGGGAGACGATTTGGGATAGTGCAGTAGACGTGGCCACAACATTGGAGGGAGGGAGAAACTTGCAGTGATTTCTAAAGGCTAGAGGTGTCAAGCATCATGGGAAAACATGAGGGAAGGAAGGGAACCTTATGTTGGAGGAGCCCATCTCCTGACCTGTGGGGAAGGGTTCCTGCTGAAACCCTGTCCATGCCCTTGGGTATCACTAAGGTGATACTTGGCTCCTTAGCATCCAGTGAGATGGTCCCTTGCTCTCTGGGGCAGCTCCTGGGTACCCCTTCACCATGCCTGGCAGCCCCAGAGCTGACTTGTTCCCACAGCGGCTGGATCGCCACCATCTCCTTCTTTGGCACGAATGTCGGCTCAGCAGTGGTGATGCTCATTCCCACCGTCATGTTCACAGTCGTGGCTGTCTTTTCCTTCATCGCCCTCAGCATGGTATGTGGACACTCTGGGTGGTGGGAAGGGCTGTGATATGAAACTAGCCCGCCTCCAGGTTACAGGACCCCTGTGTCTTCCAAGGGATTCACTGTGGTGGGGGGACTTGGTGGGGTCCAGGGCATGGGTACAGAGGGCCAGCTGGCTTTTACAGGGACTGTCTTTGGCTCTTCCATCTTTCTTAGATGCCTCTTCCCTTTGATTGACGCCTCTTTCTTCTTCTCCTCCAGGTTCATAAGTTCTACCGGGGTAGTGGTGGGAGTTTCAGCAAAGCTCAGGAGGAGTGGACCACCGGGGCCTGGAAGAACCCACATGTGCAACAGGCAGCCCAGAACGCAGCTATGGGGGCTGCTCAGGGTGCCGTGAACCAGCCGCAGACTCAGTATTCCGCCACCCCCAACTACACATACTCTAATGAGATGTGAGCTGTGGAGCCTCCCGGAGGCAGGGCTGGGGGCCAGTGGGGTGGGGCTCAAGCCACATCATGTGTTGTGGTCACCAAGCAGGGTTCTCTTTCCCCTTTTCTCCTCCCCAACTTTGTACAAAGAATCAGAGTTATATATATATATATATACACACACACACACAAACGCGTGCGCGTACACACACACACGTATCTGTCTCTCCCCTCCCCCACCTTTTGGATTCTGCTCTCGGCACCCCGAGAGCTGTGGGCTGCACTTGGAGCTGTCCCATGCGGTGGTAGCTACGTCCGTGTCCCTTGTGAAGTAGTGTGCAGTGGAGGTCTCCGTTGTTGTGGTGCTAGATGTATGTTTAGAACTAAACCAGCTCCTCACCCTCCACCAGACTGCCCTCTTTGATTGTGGCCCAGGGACCCGTCATGGGACGGGGGAGACACAGCAGAGAGCCTGGCCCCCTCCCTAGGGTTATGAACTGAAACCCTTTCCACTTTCGGTCTTACTGGGAAGCAACAGTATTTAGCGCTCCTGGTAGTGGGGGGGGGGTAGGTTGGGGGTCTTCTCTCGCGCCTTCTGACCCTGGTCTCCCCCTCAAGCTCTCCCTGTCCCCCCTCTCCTCCCTGCTGTCATTTCTCTGTGGTCTCCTTTCCTGCCAGGCACTCTCCTCCCCATGTGGCATTTCTTTTGTCTTCTCCAATGCTCAGTGTCCCAGTTGTATCTAATTTCTGAGACTGAGCCCATTCCCAGATCAAGGAAGCATTGTCAGGGAGCTACACCTTTGACCTGTGGTGGGTGTGGCCCATGGCTGAGAAGCTGTGCTCACCCGGGGCGGGCGGGCGCCTGGTTGCCAGGGGATGGAAATGCAGGTCTCTCTCCTTGGTTCGGGAGTGTGGCCTGCAGGGGCAGGCTCCTCTTCTTCCAGCCCTGCTTCTGCCCTTTTATTCCTAGAGCTCCCTCAGTCCCCTCTCTCTGTGTCCCTCCTGGCACCCTCAGCTGCTGTGACCTGGTTCTCCTACCCACATCCAGGAGGGCAGATTCCACTGCCCTCCCTGAAGAGATGGGTGATGTCCAAGCACTTTTCAGAAAAAGGTGCAGTTGGAACAGATGCTGTGTAAATAACCGCTGGTGTCTGGGCGAGGTCTGGCTGGCCCAAGCCCACTGGGCAGATACTGGGTGTCTCTGAGCAGTAGCTGTTCAGTTGGGGGTTGGCAGAAGAGATGGGAATAGAGGGATGGGACAAGAGGGAGGTCAGAGGAGGAGGCAGGCAGGACTGGGTGAGAGGCAAGCATCCCTTCTCCTTTCTTTTAGCTTGCTTTTGGTCACAGGGCAGTGGGCCCTGAGCTCAGCCCAGGAAGAAGCAGAGGTCCATGTTCTTTGCAAGTACAAGGCTGGAATGGGATTGCAGTTTAGGTGGAAGGGTCCTAACTTGCTGCCCTCTACTGGACTTGGTTCTTGGCCCTTCTTCACCCTGTTAGAACCCCTTGCCCCTTTGAGGATGGTGATCTCAGGCCTATCAGGCTGTTGTGTTCTAAGCCTCATGGGGTTGTGACAGCACTTGGCTGCCTGAGACCTGGAGGGGAGCAGGCTCTCACCCACAGCGGCTGCCTGTTTCCCACCACCTTTTTACCTGGAGTCTTTGGCCTGAAAACACAACCCCCTCTTGGCCACGTGGGACTGGCTGCAGCTTGGAATGCAGCATGTGGCCTTCCAGTGCCATCCTGAGTTTTGAGTTCCAGACACTATTTCCCTGTAAGCGGAGTCTGGAACGTTCTCCTAGTCCCTTAGTTTTGAGCCACAGAGAGTGATAGGTTCTTTCCACCATCACTTTCTCTCTGGAAGCAGTTGTCACAGTCCCAATTACCTGAAGAGAGACCCTAGGTCTAGGCTCTTTTCCCCCGACTCTCTCCCACCCTGGACTTCTGTTTCCCCTTTCTGTAGTCTCTCTGGTAGATCCACGAGGCTCATGGTCTAGCAGTCAGCCCAGGACCCATGGCCCATGACCCATGACCCATGCCCCATGCCACCTCCAGTCAACTTTCTGCCCTTTCCTTTTCCCTGGCTTAGACCTAGATAGCCCTGATTCTGCCCTAGGGAAGACCTGTTACCTGTGTGTGGCCCAGCTTGTCCAGACCTTGGGATGCTGCATCTCCAGGCAACTATGCACTTTCCTGGGAAGAGAACCCATATGAGAAGTGGGGGTTGGGTAGATTCATTTCTGTTAAATGGTCTGGCTTGGGGATGGGGTGGAAAAAGGCCCAAGTCAGTTCTGGGAATCCACAGGTCTGCAGCCAGCCAATGACCTGCTTTTGCATTATTGGTGCCCACTGCTTCTCCTTGTCTCTGAGACATACAGACCATTTTCCAGTTGGCAGTTGACCTGCCTGAGCCAATGTGTCTGTCTGTGGTAACTGAGAGAACCATAATAAAGGGGAACATTTGGCCCTGTGTGATCCTGTGTCACGTGTCTTCTTGTGGGCCTGTGTGGAACCTCCCTGTGGGGCTACAGGGCACAGAAGCAGGGTGGGTGGAGTAGATCTGTGCCCTGTCATTCCCTGGGGCCAAGAGCCCTCTGTGGCTCCTTTACCTGAGGCAGCCTTGAGTAGGCTGCCACAGAGGCTGCTTGCCATTTGGAAGAAGGGGCTCTGAACTCCCTGAGGAACAAGTAGAAGGCCAGAGCAGTGGGTAGAGGGCAGTTTTGTCCATGCTGAGTGCAGGCGGGGGTAGAACGAAGGGCCCCACCTCAGCACTCGTCAGTGGTGACTGGCATCTGAGTGGGCAGCTCCAATCAGCACAGGGGTGCTGGGGGCCTGGGGGTGCTGAAGAGTGAAGACGGCCTCCAGGTACACCCACCGTTCTTTCTCTTCCCCTTGCCGATGCTGCATCCTCCACACACAGTGCAGCTGGTCCTCTGAGCACCTCTGCTACCCTGCGAGAGTCACCTCCAGTGGTGGCTTTCGCAGGGTCTCCCGCCCCCTACTTGTTTGCTTAGGCCAGTCTGCTTCCTCAAGGAGTGCTTTCCTCAAAATTTCTATGCGCGTTTGTCTCTGGAACAGGGAACCTTTTCCTTTATTTCTGTATTCTGTGCCCTTAAAACAAGCTTGGTAAATTCTCAGTAAGTGCCCCGGTGACTGTATGTATGTATGTATGTATGTACATACAAGCAGCTCTATGTATGCGGGATAGATTAGGAAGTGAGGGGGCGGCAATTTGGACAGCTTCAGGCGAGAGTCCCAGAAATGCCAAGAACGCAGAGGCTGGAGGGTGGGTGCTAGGGTTGCCCAGAGGTCAACGGCTATCGGGAAGCAGAAGAATGGACTGCAACTCCCAGAAAGCAGCGCGACCACAAGCTTTCCGGTGCTCTCGCGAAGTTACGTTCCAACTAGAATTCGCTGAAGGTTGGCCGAGATATCGCGATATTACGGGTTGCCCCGAGATGTACCTGGCGCGGGTGAGGAATTAAAAGGGGCTCAGAGTGTGGGTTCTTGCTGTTGTGCAGGACTGGGATTTGGGGGTGTGTGGGGGCCGTTTGCTCGCGCTGGGTGTGTGTGCGCGCGCCTGTGCGTTTCCCCTCTCTGCCGATTGTGTTTACCCTATTTCTCTTCTCGGTGTTGGTGGGTCGCGAGCACCGGAGTCCTTACCTGTTGAAACCTGACAGGGGGGGTTTTGTATGTGCGGTTTGACCCGGACCCGGGCTTGGTGCTGCTATTTCATTATCTGTCCAGTGTACTTTAATCTACTTTAAAAGTTGACCCTCATAGTTCCCCCACATTTACTGTTTAGCTTAAAAACAAACAAACAAACAAACAAACAAACAAAAAACTCAGCCCCCTTCCAAAAAGGAACGGGATTTTCCAGAGTGCGAGTTACATTTTAGAAGATAAAAGGAAAATTTTGTGGTGCTAGGACTATCCCTTAGATCTACCTAAAAGTACTGAATGGAATTTAAAAACTAGAACAAGGCCAACTTTCCTGTGAGGCTGTTACCAGATGATTGGGTAGGAAAGATTCCCAAATTGGGGAATTGATTGTCTTGGGAGCAGAATTTACCTCCACATCTCTCCCAGGGACTGAGAGGTGGCAGAAACTACCTTGCTAGTGTCCTCTGAGTCGGTCATGTTGTTAATATGAATTAAAAAAGTGTAACTTGGTACATGTCCAACATCTGACCTTCAGGAGGGTGCCTAAAGGGGACTCCAGAAGCTTCCAGGTCAAGCCTCAGAGTTCTTTGCTTTTCTTTGGGGAAAACTTTTTTTTTAACAATCCAACTTTACTAGATATTTTATTTTTCCCCCTCCCCATTTTTTAATATAGTATGTTTATTTTTACATCACTGTACATTTTTTTTTCATCTCAATTGTAATCCCCGCGGATTTCTCATCACCAACTAACCCAAGTGCCATCACCATAGTCCCGTGCACTTCCCTCCCTCCTCCTTGACCCCATTCCCCACTCCACCCCCACAAAATGTCTCTGGTATATGGCTGTTCATTATTCTTATTTTCTCACCTGGTCCATTATACTCCTGCTATGAGTGAAACCATCCGGTATTTTTCTTTTTCTTCCGGCTTATCTCACTAAGCATCATCTTTTCCAGCTCCATCCAAGTTACTACAAAAGACATGTGTTTTTTTTTTTTGGTTGCTGAGTAATATTCCATTGTGTATATATACCATATATATATATACCATATATATATATATATATATATATATATATGTATTTTTTAAAAAAAGATTTATTTATTTGTGCATACAGAGCTGGGGTACAGGCCAGAGGCTCAGGGGTGGCGAGAGGATTCACCAGAGACAGAGTGGGGAGCAGAACAGGCAGATCGAGGAAGTACACTGCTGAGGGGAGCAGTGCGCAGATCAGGAGAGGTCTGCCACTCCATGTGGTCACCTCTGGGGCAGGAGGGAATCGAACTCATGTGGTAGTGGCTTTAGCTTCTCAGCACTGTGCTTTAACCTGCTGTGCCACCAGGGAGGGCCTGTACCACATCTTTTTAATCCACTCATCTACTTTTGGGCATTTGGGCTGCTTCATGTTTTTCCAATTGTAAATAAAGCAGCAATAAACATGGGGGTGCAGGTATCTTTTTGAAACAGTGTTTTTGTGTCTTTTGGGTAGATACCTAAGAGTGGGATTGCTGGGTCATAGGGAAGCTCCATTTTAAGCAGTTTGAGGAACCTCTGAACAGTTTTCCATAGTGGTTGTACTAGTTTGCATTTCCACCAGCAGTGCAGGAGAGTTTCTTTTTTCTCCACATCCTTGCCTACATTTGCTGTTGCTAGTTGTATGAAGATGTGCCATTCTCACTGGGGTGAGGTGGTATCTCATTGGGGTTTTAATTTGCATCTCCCTTATGATGAGTGATGTTGAACATTTTTTCATGTGCTTGTTGGCATCTGCATTTCTCTTTGGAGAAGTGTCTTTTTAGCTCTTCTGCCCATTTTTTGGATGTGGTTGTTTATTTTTGTTGAGTTTTGTCAGTTCTCTCTATATTTTTGTGATCAATCCTTTATCGCCAGTTTTGTGTGAGGAAATTTTTTTCCTTGGGGAAAACGTTTTAAGTGCCCTTGTGGCCCCAGGGCTCCTTTTAATGTCTTTGGGTTTTGAGGCAGAGTGACATTTTAGAGAGGTACAAGTTTACAGCTATAGGCACAGAGAGTAGCGTATTGACTGGTGGGATATGAGGCCAGAGCTGAGTCCTGGTACTAGCAGTGAGGGGCTCTTAATGGATCTTGGGTCTTTGCCCATTCCCACTGGTGTTTGGTGCTGCTTTGTCTCGGGCCTCCCTCTCTCATGGCCCCTGTGTTGGGCTGTCCTCATACCCTATCTGGCCCTTTCTTGGTCTTGGTTCTGCCCCACACCACCCGTATTGTGAGTGGAAGGTATTCCTAAAACCTTTTTTTAAACGCAGCCTTAATTAAATTCATCAGAGTAGGAGACAGACATCACAAACTTTGCAGGAGCTGAAGCCCTTAACTATCTGGCCCGTTCTTTCTAAAGAACAGGGAAGCTGCCACTTTCTGCTTGTGGTGAACTTGCACGACTAGCTCCCTGGCAGCTTGAGGCTTAGTAATCAGTTTTCAGTCCTGTCACCTTGGTGCCTGCTAACTCTTTCTGCTGCTCAAGAGTTCCTGTGAGTCTAGCAGAACCCAGGGAAACGAGATGCTGTCTTTAGCCAGCTTGGCCAGACAGAGAGGTGTTTCTCACTGGAACTGGGGACAGTAATTCAGTGGTTTGGGACTGAATTTGCTTTTCTTGGAGAACAAAGTAAAGAACCGTTAGCTGTTCCCTCTTCGGGATTGTCAGATTGAACTAATTTGACTTTGCTTTCAATATTAGCTATATTGTCCAATTTCTATTCCCTGAGTACACATATCCCTCCTCCCTTTTCTAGAAAGGTATGTAGACTGTGGTCCTTAGCAGATCTTGCTCAGCAGATCTAGGGCTGTACCACCTGCTATGAGGAAGCCGATTAAGTCACCCATAAGGATTCCTGCTGCAGGTTTAACTGATGGGGGAAGTTCTATTCCTTTCAGTAACCTGTCCCTTAGGAAGGAAGCATCTTGATTTGGAGGAGCTCCAGGAGCTGCAGAGATTGCAGAGATGAAATTCAGCTCCTGGCTTAGCAGGAATCTGTGTGTTCTAAGACCAGCTGGCTGGTGTATGACACGGTTAAGGTTTGAGATCTGCCGGTGGCTTTCTCTGGAGAATCAAAAGTCTGTCTCCAGCACCCACTGTTAGTGGCAGTCAGCATGGCTGGTTAGTTGCCGGCAGAGGTTGGCTGGTAGGGCTCTAGACTTGCCAGTTGCTAACGGTTCCTCAGGTCCTGGAGCAGATCATTATGTTCTGGATAAGCAGGACCCTGGCTGAGTCCATGATACCGAGCAGAGATTGTCATTGTTGGCAAATGGACCTTTGGAGGAATCTTGCTCTAAGGAACGGGCCTTGTTTAGCTCCTGTTGACAAGGGCCTGTGCTTTGGGAAGACTTGGACCATCCGGTGAGGAGTGGGATTATGGACCTAAATGTGATCCTTAGCTCAGTGGGTTATGCCGGAGTCTCAAAGGCAAACAGTAAGTGAGTGGGCCTAGGGAATCAAGGCACTTTTGGGTTCAAAGACACAAGGTAGTTCTTGGGTGACTCCCCGGTACTCCCTCAGGATTTGCCTGGGTGCTTCCTCTCTCTGCATATTCTCCCCCTTTTGAGTACATCTTCCAGGCTTCTCTCCTACAGCGAGCCCCTTACTACTGTATTGCATGCACTGACTCAGAAGTTTTCTCCTGATGAAGAGACAGGTCCAGGGAGGGAATGGCTGGACCCAGGTCACAAACGAGGTCCCAAGCACCATTGTGGACAGGGCCCCAGGCTCCTTATTCACAGGCCAGGCTTCTGCCCTCTGCCCCTGCCTGTTTCAGATATTCAGAAGTTGCCAGATGCCTAATTAGCTGGCTGTGATTAGACGCTGTCACACATTAATTGAAAGAGCTGGGTGGAGGAGGAGGAGGGAGTGGGGAGGGAGACGCAAGGAAACTGTTACACTGATTGAATCAGTTATCCCCAAAAAGGTGTATCACAGAGAAGATCCCGTCTCCAGTGGTAACCTGTCCACCTAACTCATCCTCAGCTCCCCTGGCTGCAGTGATTCTTCCATAATTCCTTTGCCTGCCGGCTACTACTGGAATTGGTCCTCAGTGATTGCTGCTAATAAAGTGAGTACTTTTTGTTAGTCCAGTTGGCCAGACAAGGTGTTAGTTTGTTCACCAGCTATATTATAAGGGTATTTCTAGCAACATCTGAGACCTGAGGAAGAAACCCAGCAGCTGATCTGAGGGGCCCTTTCTGCCTTCTTCCTTTATGACATTACTTTCCTGCTGTTCTCCTGCTGGGCTTGCATTTGCAGGGTGATGCCCAGCACAGGGACAGAGACAGACAAGTACCCTCTCAGCTCGCTCCCTGGCACACCCAGAGTTCTTTGTCCATGGGTCCATCTACCTCATGGCCATCCCTTGAACCTGTGTCCTTTCACTTCCTTTCCGCAGTTAGCCTGATGGGGGGCCAGCTCCTTCCCCTGTCCCTTCTACATCTCCACTACCAGGAACACCACCACCCTTGACACTGCCCTTGACTTGATTTTGCAGCTCACTGCTTCTGCCCTGCCTCTGTATCACACTTGAGCCTCGTCCCCAGCTACTCCCTGTTTCTGAAACCTGCCATCCACCTTGCGGCCTCTTCAGCTTTCTAAGATTGCTCCTTCTGCAGAGTTCTTTATTCCTCTGGAAACTTAACTCATCCATTCAGGACTCAACCAGAATGTCATTGATAGTGACATGGTCCGTGACTTCCTCATAGTCTCCACAGCCCCTGGCATAGAACATGCTCACAGCCCTCAGCACTGTGCATTGTCACTGCCCTGTCTGTGGCTGCGGTGCTTTCTTAGGACCTTTCTCAGGGTCTGGTGAGGCTCAGTGGGGACGTGTTGCATTGGGCAATACCACACTGGGAGTCATGAAACAGGCTGCCTAATGCAGGGAGCTCCTCAAGAGCAAGACCCTGGCCTTTTTATCTGTAACTAGTGAGACAGAATTAACCTTATGGGGAAGTACAAAAGGAGACTGGGAAGTAGAAGAAGCAGGGGAAGGGTGGAACTGTATTTCTCAGCTGCTGATAGCTTGGTATATAGATCAAGCCCTGGCTCCCCTGTCAGGATTTCTATCTTATCTGTAAGGCATTCCACTGATTAGCTTCTGGGGTCCTTTGTTATACATCAGTCAATGGCCCTGGGGGTTCCCTCATACCTCTTGATGCACACCCTTCCCTGGGTGATCCAGCTTCTCTTAATTGACTTGCTTTAGGAATGCAGAACTGTTGGCAACCAAGTGGAGGCTGGGTAGGGAAGCAATACATTTTGGTCAAATGTATGAGTGAAGGGGTGTCCCTTCTTTTCCTTTTAGGTCCTAAATCCTGACAGCTTTATGAAAGCCAGTCCCTCAGGCTCTGGGACCAGATGCCACCAGTCCGCCCATGGAACCCAGGGTCTCATGTCCAGCTGCTGCACCCTTGAGGGAGGGGCAGTTCCGTGTTCTCGTGGGTGTCACTGGGAGTGTTGCTGCTCTGAAGTTGCCTGTCCTGGTGGCACGGCTATTGGACATTCCTGGTGTGAGTATTCTTACTAAACCGCAGGGCAGCTTCTGCCCAAGGCCTGCTGATCTGTGCCGACATGTTTTTGTGCAGTGCACGGTGTGTTCTGTTGTTGGTGTGTCTGGGGTCCTCTGTGTGTGCTGAACGTGGAGTGTGCAGGAGGCGGACCCTGCTGTGACTGTGCCAGGAGCCGGATTAGAGGGTGTGAAGAGGGTATCTGGGAGGCTGGGCCAGGAACGCACTGGAGAGTGGAGGCTGGGTTTCCCGTGCATTGTTGAGGGCCTGGTATGGGTGGAGGGCTGGCTGGAGAAATACAGTAAGTTTTAATGCCCCTCTGTCCGTGGCTCCGTCTCACCTTCACGCCATCTGCACACTCCCACTCTCTTCTCCCTGGTAGGTGTCTTGTCCCGATTTCCGTGACCGGCCTCAAGGAAGAAAGACAGGCAGAAAGGCTGAGCAAGTAGAATTTATTGCTCCTGGGCAGCAGCTGAGACAAAGCTCCCTAGGGTGGGGTCTGCAGCTTCTGCCAGCCCTATAGGGGAAAAGGGTCTCTTATATAGATTCTAGGGGTGACTCATCGCTGTGCCCCCTGCTGTGAGGCCCAGTTAATTATCACCCGTGGAAGCGAGGCCCAGTTTATCGCCCTGATCGAGTTCCACCAGTAGTTGTGTTATCACTGCACCTGGTTGCCCCCAACAGTAGGTAGATTCTGGGGCTGACCTGTCTGAATGCCCTGGAGTCTCAGAGGGTCCCCGCAACCCACGGCTCCGGTTCCACACTTGACTCTATGTGTTCTGGGTAGTGGGGGTGGACCAGATCACCTGAACTTTGATCAGTTTATGTGTTAGGGTTCTGAGGAGAGGTGCTTTGGGAGGGAATGTTCAAGGTTTAAAGCCTTGTGCAGGGCAGCAGGTGGTAATGCACTGCTCCGCCTGGCATGTGAGTCTTTCCCTGGTCTGCTTTCCCCATGGCTCCCTGCGCTGCCTTGCTGGCCTTTTCCCATGCTGGCCTTGCCAGCCACACTGCTCCCACTTCTGCCTCTACCTTTCCATATTCTGCACAAACATCAACTGAAACAGCCTCCCAGGCCTGCCTCTGCCGTGTGGTTTTGCTACTCTTCTTTTTAAACTCATTTGATGTGTTAAAGATAGTCAAGAACTGGTGTTAAATGGGGAAAACACAGATTTTATTGAGAAGAGCTATTGTAATAGATGAAAATAGTTTGTAGTATAGAAATGGGCTGAACTCCGAATTAAAAAAGCAAACGGGGGCATTTCTAGCCAAGGATCAGGGTGGGGGGACAGTAGATAGGAAATGACTCGAGATGAAACACTGTGGGGGGATTCTGGCTAATCCAGCCCACAGGAGGCCTACAGAAGGCAGGTCAGGATGAGCAGACTTGGGGACAGGGGAGATGAGGAACCTGATGAGATCTCTAAGAGATTGAGGGTGGGCGATTATGGCTAAACCAACTTCGCAGGAATCTTGCTGTTGACGATAGGCCCAAGGATGCGGCTTAGTTGAAAATGCCTTAGGGATACCCGACTTGATTTGCTGAAGGAGAGACTCTGTCAGGTGCTGAACACCAAGCTGCCTGGTCGCCTGCACCAGCCGCTTGGGGATTGCTGGCATGACTCCGAAAGCCTGGGGCGCGACGGGGTGTACAGGCGCGGCCAGCAGGGGGCAGTGCTCACCCACAGATGACGGTTGGACCGCAGCCAGGGGTGGGAAAGTGCACCTTTTACTTTCTGCAAACTTCTTCCCAGAAAATCACTCCCCTAGATTGGAAAAGTCGGAGATTCCGGTCTGCCCGAAAGGAGCGCAGTAGGAGAACCTCCTGGCTGCCCAGAGGCCCGAGCTGCTGCTGCTGCTGGTGCTGCTGCTGGGCCAGTGACCCCTGGTCTGCTTCCTCCCGACTCCTTCCCTCCTTGCGCCTGAACCGTTGGGCGGAGGGGGCCACCTGGAGAGTGAGGGCCAGAGGCCTGGAAGTTGTTGTGGCAGTGACAACTCCACCACTGTCCCCTGGGGAGGGCGGGAGCCTAGTAGTTCCCTTTTCCCAGAGCCCCAGAGCAAGTGAATTTCCGGTCTGGGGGTGGGTTGGGGGCAGGGAGTCCTATCCCAGGAAACAGATGGGCAGCCCAGAGCGGAGGGAAATGGCAACTCTGCAGCTTCCTGCCATCCCACACAGCCAGCATTTATAGGGGTGTGAGGAAAGGGTGACTGAAGCAGGGAGGCTCTCCGGTGCACCCCAGGCCTCTGAGCTGGGCCTGCTGGACAAATAGGCCTTCCTGGAGCAGGACTGGGCTCCCCATCTGCCTGGGTTGCAGCAGAAAGTCAGGCAGCCAGACCTGGGAGGAGGACACCCAGAATTGGCCTCTTAAGGCCTGCCTTTCTCATTTAAAAATAAGGGTGATTACACCTATCCCCTTGGGCTGTTGTAAAGGCTGGGGGCAGGGACACTAGGGAGTCACTTTGACCAACAACTGAGGCAGCTCCCAGCATTGGGATGCACTTGACAGTGGTTCTTTTCTGTCCCTCATCTCCTTTTCTCTGGTCTTGTCCTTGGGTCTGCCACATGCTGTGGGGTGACAGGTGATAGAGCTCTGTGAGCCACAGTCTACCTGTGCCTGTGGAGGGACCGCTCCTGTGGGTATACAGCCTGAGTTTGCCAGGGAGGGTGCTTGTGAGGTCCTGCTCTCCAGGGGGATCCTGCTTGCCTTGTGTTGGCCAAAGCAGTGGCCTTTCCCATTCTCCCTATGGTACAGACCTCCCCATTGTGCCATTTCTGGAACCCCCTCTCCCCTAACAGTTTTGGTCCCTTGGAGCACACAGTCCTCTTTAGCGGCTAAGCCTTGGGTCCGCTCGCTTGAGGTTTCCCCCAGCCAGCGCCCTTAGGCATGGCTCGGTTTTGACTAGCAAACCACTTGCAGGGTGGGAGCGGGGTGACTCTGCAGAACTGGCTTGTGACTGCACCCAACTCCGTGTCTGGGCATCCGGGGTGAGCCGCTGACCTAGAGGCAGTTGTGCTGTTTCCAGACCTGGAAGCGGGGTGGGGGTGGGGGAGAGGGTGCCTTTGGCCTCCAGCTTCAAAAGGGGGAGACCATCTCCTACTCAGAGATCTTGGACTTAGAGAAGGGTAAGTTTCTAGAACGCCCTCAGGCTGTGAAAGGCAAGGGTTCCTGTCACATGCAGTCTGCAGTAAATTCTCTTTTGGAGGATCGAAAAATGGTCACAGCTCTGATTGACCCATAGGAAGGAGACCTGTGGGGTACCCTGCTGTGAGTTTCAAGGGTGCATAATTTCTACATACAATACTCAAATTACAATGTACAGAAAATATAACATATAGTCAAAAGCTGGATATAAACAAAGCACCCAGCAGGAGAGGGTTGTGGTAGGTTCTGCTCCAGCCCCTCAGTGGGTTACGAGGCAGAGGTGAGAAGTCGCACCTCTGTGTGCTGACGTGCCCCCCAGAAGATCGAAATAAAATGAGCCTGATGCAGGAATTGGCAAACCAGGGCCCACAGTCACATCCAGTCTTACTATTTTTGTTTGGCCTAAGCATTAAAGATTTCTTTATTTATACATTCAAGAATGGGGTGTAGGCCAGAAGTGCTCCCCACTCTCACTAGAGTCAGAGTGGGGAGCAGAACAGGCAGACTGACAGAAACACACTGCTGAGGGAGCAGTGGACAGGTCAGGATCTGCTGCGCCATGTGGGTCAGCTTCCTGGCTGGGAAGAAACTCACGCTGAGTGGCTATGAATACCTACATAGTGCTGCACTAAAATACCAAAAGAAGAATATTTTGTGACATAAAAATGACATGAAATACTGATTTCACCGGTCCATTACCTGCATGCAGGTCTCCGCTGCCACTGCAGAGCGTTATCATGGAGCCCTGCTCCAGGTGGGCACCTAGTGTGATTTCTCCTCTCTGGATATCACCAGCCGGGCTCTGCTTGGCTTCTGAGATCAGACGAGATCGGGTGTGTTCAGGGCAGTATGGCCAGACACTTGAGCGTGATTCTGATGTCCACATCACGTCTACAGATTTCCCCCTTTGGGGCAGGAGGGAGACTTGCATTTTGTATTGTGCTGTTCAATTTTAATTTCCTACCATCTGCGTATACTTATTTTATTTTTAAAGTCAGAGGGACTGTCAGTGGAGATATTATGGAACATTCTTTGTCACTTTATGCTTTTTAAAAAATGCTCATGAAGGAAAGATGAGCAGGAGAAACAAGCCTCACTTGAGGTTTCCCTTCCTTTCTGGGCAGGGCCCCCAGTCTCCTCTGTGGGTCTGTTTGGCGCGAGTGCACTGAGGCATTGATGTTTGCCTCCGCTGCCTGGCCTGCTCCTTCTTCCCTGGCCTGATCCTTTGGGGAATGAACTCTACAGGCTGCTGGTCAGAGACAACCAGCCCTTGTCCCAGGGTTTCTGTGCCCCAGGGTCCTCCTGTGAAACCCCACACAGTGTCCCATAAGAGAGCCGCAGGGTGCCTCCTAGTTCTCCTCTTGAGACTCTTTTCCAGTTGGGCAAGAGCATAGAGGGATCAGAGGCTCGGTTTGCCCGACACCAGGAGGGCTGACGCAACCGGCAGCACCCCCAGGAAGCCTGTGTGTGGAGGCTGATGAGAGCTGCTTTTTTCTGCAGAGTCTGGGGGAAAGAGTAAGTGTCACGAGAGGGCTGGGACACAGTGAGCAGGTGGGGTCCTGAAGGCTGTCTGTCCAATGGCTCATGGCTCAGAAAGGGAAACCCGGGCCAGAGAGGAAAGGATTTTCAGGGCACCCCCCAGCAGTGAGTTGGCAGAACCCGGGCACCTGTAGGCGAGTGAATGGAGGGTCACGAATCTGGAGCAGGGTATCCTCTGCTCCAGTTCACCACGAGGGTGAGACTCCCCAGGAAAGCGCGGCCTCTCCCCTGGTCTGCCCATCTGTGGGACACGCTCTGAATGTGGGCAGAGCTCGTACCTTATCCACGCTGGCCCTGGCTGCAGTAGGGCCCAGTGGATGTCTG